GGTCTCTTGCTTTGTGATGGTCACACCAGGGTACAGCTGCCTTAGCAGTTCCCTGCTTCAGCTTGCAAGGCTGACTTCCTGCAGGACATCCCCGAGGAGAAGCCACATGGACCTATCCCGATGCAACCCTGGGTGCTGAAGCAGCCTTGTGGAGACCCCTGCTGGTGCTGAGATGCTTACACGCTCACTGACTCGGCTTTCCTCCTGCAGTCAACATCATAGTGAGTGTTTTATGAGATGGAGGAGGACTTTGTGGATTGGTGTTGGACATATGGGTTAATGTTGGATTTGTAGGCTTGGGCAGCACTGGGTTGGGATGTTTTCTTGATGTGCACCTACCCTTTATATAAAACTCTCTCTTATACATGAGTTTCTGCGGATTTGTTTCTCTAAAGTACCCAGACTAATACAGAAGGGTAGAGAATTCCAGGTAGAGGGAACAGCTAGGGCTAAGGAAGGAACAGTTTCAGTGTGCTGTTGGAAGTCAGGGTGTCTGGTGGCAAGCAAGGGCGAGAGAGGCACCAAGTGAAACACTACACCTTCTTCCATCATTGCAGCTTTCAGTCTTCCAGCCACCCACCAAGCCTCTGTCCAACCCCCCTCTTTCCTTCTCTATCTCCCTCCCCTCGTTATATCCATCCATCCATCCATCCATCCATCCATCCATCCATCCATCCATCCACCTTCCGTATCTCTGCTCATCCAACCAGCCACCATTGCTCCTTTCCTTCCTCCTCTCGCCCATTTCCTCCACTCTCTCCCCTTTGCCCTTCCACCCTCTCTGCCTCCATCTAGTCACCCCTGGCCATCCACCCATCCACCTGGCCTCCCTCCCTCCCTCCTTCCAACAAAAATGTACAAGGACCTCCTCTGTGTCACACCTAGTTCAAGGTTCTGCACATCCTACTGTGTGTGTACAGCAGTGAACAAAGCAATGACAGCCCCTTCTCTGGATTCTAGGGAAGGAGACAGGTGCGGGGCGTGTTCTGATCCACACAGTCTGTGTGTGCGTGTGTGTGCACGCGTGTGTATATTAGTAATAAGTGCTACTGAGGACAATTAAGCAGGGCGCAGGGAGAGGGGAGGGAGCTACTCTGGCGAGAGGGGTCAGGCTAAGCCTGTCTGGGGACGTGACATTTGAGCACAGTGAAGGAATCGAGTGCGGGCTGTGCAGGATATGTGGGGAGAGCATCCGGGCAGGGAGAAGGCAAATGTGAATGGGCCGGGGGGAACTCCGGCATCCTGTGGCTGAGGACCAGCAAGGAGTCCAGTGCGGCCAGATTGGGGAGAGGTGGGGTATGAGGGTCTGATAGGTGGGAAGCCTTGTCAAATGTGTTCCCAAGCACACTGGGGAGCCTGCAGAGGCCAAGGGCGGGGTGTGAGGGTACAGAATAGCGGCAGCAGCCTCACCTTCAGCTGCAAGTCCACGCCGCCAGGTGTAGCTGTTGGAGGTGCCACCACCGTGTAATCAATCCCAGCCACAGTGTCGACGAAGGCTGTCGCCAAAGGAGAGGAGACGGCACATGAGCAGGCTACACAGGCTTTGTCCCTGGGGGCGGGAGCACAGACCCGGCGTCCCCCCCGCCCAGCTGGGCACATCTGCAGTGCCAACTCCAGGCCCACCTCCTCCAGGGAGCCCTCCCTGAGTTTGCCTTCAAGGAAAAGGTAGCCAGACCCCACATTCAAAGACATTGCCGCCCTCTTTTCTTCCAACAGTCCCGAGATGGGCACAGGCTGGAGAAGACAGACAGACAGACAGACAGACAGACCGGGGCTTGGCTGAGCTTAGCCCCTCATCAGCTGCCTGTGACCTTGAGCAAGCCTCCGCTTCTCTGAGTCTCTGCTATCTGTAGGACGAGGCAGCTCTAGGGACCTCACAGACCTGGGAGGATGAACTGAGACGGTGCACCCAAACGCCATGTGCACAGTAGGCGCTTAAATGCCAGGAGGGGTTGTGGTCAGCGGCAGCAGCATCCCAGGCTGAGATCTGCCGGGCTCGGGTCTCAGCGGCGTCCTGATTTCCCAGGAGCGACCGATGGGAATTCAGTAAATGCCAGGTACCCCCCCAGTCTGCGTCCTTCCCGAGATAAGTCAAAACACCAAGCCGGCCACAACTCCAGGGTATCCCACATGTGCCAGAGCAGGACGGCGCTCCACCGGGAGTGGGCCAGCTGTGACCTTTTGGAAGCGGAGTGCCAGGCCTTTCTTCTGAGGTGCCCCTGGGTGGGTGCAGCTCACCAGCCTATCAGTTTGCAGCTGAAGCTTTAATGGTTTGCTTCACCCCAGGGCATTCCTCCTTCCCCATGATAGAAACAGAGGCTCAGAAATGACACGTGGTTCAAGGTGGCCCTGCCGGAGTGACGAGGCTGGGGCTCAAATGGAAACCATTCCCCTGCTCAGTGAGGCCAAACCTGAGCCCCTACCTTGCACTGAGCATGCACAAGAGGGCCCATGCCCTGGAGGGCCTGGGGCAGTGCCTGCACAGAGTAGATGTTTCTCAAATGGGCATAGAGCATGGTGCCAGGCTCTGGGGAGGCAGCCCAGGGTTCAGTTGGGGACACAGGCTCTGGAGAAAGAAACCCTGGCCCTGAGATTTGCCCCCTTTGGCTTTGTGGACTCTGGGTCTCAGGTTCCTCGTGTGTGAAATGGGGAGACCCGCCCTGACCTCAGTGGAATGCTGGGGCCCATGGGTGAGAATTCCAATCCAGGGCCCCAGCACATGGTGAGCCCTCACCAGAGGGAGCTCTCCCCAAGCACTTTGCCACTGAGGGTAGGGAGATGTGCCCATTTTAAGGATACAGAAACGGAGGCCAAGAGAGAAGTGCTCGGCCTCAGATCTCGGGTCGTCATGAGACTATGGTTTCAGAGAGCTGGGAGCATTTGGTGGTTTGGCCGCTGTGGGGGTGGGGGGAGCGGGGTGGGGGCTGCTTTTCTACTTCAATTCTGGACCCACCCCAGGGCCTAGCCCAAGCGGTCAGCATCCCTCCTTTCTGCGCTTCTGCTGGAGCTGAGGGACAGGTCCTCGGCTCAGTGCCTGCTCTCCCCAGGCAACGCCGGCCCAGGCCTGTCTGGGAAAATACCGCTCTCCATGCTGCCCATCACGCCCACCCTGTCTCTGCCATCCCCTCCTTGTTCTGTCCCACCCCCTTGGGCCCTCACCCCCTCCTCACCTGACGTAGTCTGGAAATAAGGTTGAAGCTTAAAGGACACAGCGTTGGTCACTATCTCGCAGATCTGGGGAGAAGACATAGGTCAGTGAGGGCCCCCCCATCCGTGGCCAGTGTCCTTCATGAAAAATGGCAGGACATGTTTGGCATTGCTTAAATGTCTTCTAGAAAATCACGTAGCTAATCAAGTTTCCCTTTTCTCTTCGGCCACCAGGAAGCTCAGAACCAAGCATGCCATTGGACAATAGGAACTGTGCCTGACTTGGGTCTCTGTATTGTATTTCCTACCCTGGTCCAGAACCTCCTGGTGGGGATTTCTCTTTCCTGTTCGTTGATGTGGGCTTCTTTTGTTGTCTCAGATTCTTTATGAGATGAGGTGGTGAAAAAACAATAAGCTTGACATGGTCAGCGGTCAGCGTCCCTCCTTTCTGCGCTTCTGCTGGAGCCAAGGGACAGGTCCTCGGCTCAGTCTGGGTGGGCATCTCCACTTCCGCAGTGTACCCACAGAAAGAAGCCCCCGATCGCTCCCCAGGAACCATCTGAGAAGACCCGAGTTGCATGACAACTGCTGAGGCCCGCCTTCCTTTTCCCAACCCCTCCTTGTCTTTGGCCACCACGTGGGCTGTGGCAGATGGCACTTCCCATTCTGCTTGCTCCTCTGCAGGACCTCGTCATGCCCCCAGCCAGAGGTGAGGTCTTTGGGTCTGGGTGCACTGGTGACTTGCTTGTAACCAGCAGATGTGGCATCCAAGTGACATGGTGTAACTTCACAGGGGAGGCCACCAGAAGCTGTGTGTTTTGCACCTTGGTCTCTCTGGCTGCTCCCTCTCAGAACTCAGCCCGGAGGCTGTGAGAAGCCAAGGCTCTCAGAGAGGCCGTGGTGTTTGCTCAGGTCATGAGCCCCAGCTGAGCCCAGCCTTCAGGTCAGCCAGCCCAGGCACCAGACCTGCGAGACAGGAACCCTCCAGATGATCCTATCCCCCGGCTGGTGAGTCTTCCCAGATGAAGAAGCCCCAGACACCACGAGGCTGAGTCATCCCTGCTGTGCCTGCCTGGGTTCTAGACCCACCGAAGCCACAAGTGAGATACACCAGCTGTTGTTTCATGACACCCAATTTGGGGCTGCTTTGAAGCAACCAGGAGTTGCAACAGAGGGTTCAAAAGACACCCGTCCTAACGTGGGGAGGTTGCGATTGGTGGGGAGGGAGGGGGGCAGAGAAGCCCTCTCCTCGCCCTTCCAACATGCACTGCAGCCTTTGCCTCGCTGACCCAACCGGATCTCCTGAGCCCTGGCTTTCCTGGCTTGTTGGGCAGTGGCTGGCACAGTTGCTGCCCACGCTCTCTCTAGAGATGCCCCTTCCAGAGTCCAATGGGCACCCCCCCTGCCTCTCTGGTAATGTCCCCTCAGACTTGTTTTGTGAGGCACTCTGTACTCGTTGCATGAGATTTCCTGGGCTCCTCCCAGGCAATGCCCTCTTCCTGCGTCATTCCATGGACACCCACGTCCCCCTGGCAGCAGATGCCCTGGCTGCCTCAGCCTAAGTCCACACGTCCCATTGGCTTCTTGCCCCTGGCTCCCGGGTCTCCCTGCCCGCAGGTGTTCTGCAGGTGCTACCTTCACAGAGCTGCTCAGAAGAGCCAAGGAGTTCGACAGTTCCCAGGAATGGTCCTCAGCCAAAGAATAATGAGTTGGTATCGAAAGTAGGAACACCTGAATTTGGGGACCTTTTTTGGAACAATTGCAGGTGTGCACCACGCAATTCCTCTGAGACTCCCCAGCAGGGCTGAACCCCAGCAGTGATCCACTCCTGAACGCATTGTCTCCCATCTCCTGTCCTCACACCCTCACAGGATGGCTCGAATCCCTTTCTAAACACACCACTTGCATCTGAGTCTCTGTCTCCGCATCTGCCTTGGGGGAACCCAAGCACAAATGCTCCCACTAGGCAGTCAACACCCAGACCTCGCCTTTGTGCTCCAGCCTGGGGCCCCGATGCCCCCTACACAGTGTCCCTGGGTGTCCTGAAGGCCTCCCTAGACCAGCAGGTCCCAACACTGAACTCCTCATGACGGGAAGAGGCCTGGAGGTCAGCCTCACACTCCCTCCTCCCCTTCTCCACATTAGCTAGTTTATCTAAGGAAGGAGGGAGGGCATGGAAGAGGCAGGAATGGAGGGAAAAGAAGGGAGGGAGAAAGGAGAGAGGGAAGATGGAGGGAGGGAGAAGGGAGAGAGGAGAGAGAAAGGAGAGAGGGATGGAGGGGGAGGGAAGGAGGGAGGGAGGAGGGGGGGGCATTGGTTTCCCTGCAGTGTTTCTTTCACACCATCTGGGTCACAAGAGGGCCCAGAGAGCCAGTCCCCCAGAGCCCACGCCTCTTCTCCAAGTAGCTCAGGGGTCAGAAGAGCAATGCCAGGCAGCTAGGGCACAGCTGTTCATTCACCTGGGCTGCCCACGGGCCAGTGCCACTCACCCGTCAAGTCCACCAGATGGCTCCAAACCACAGCAAATCAGAGCCGTGAGGCCAGCTCGCCCCTCCCCAACCACCTCCCTTGAGACACCTTTGATGGACCCAGGAGCTTCCTTCCCAGAGAGACCAACCCTTGCAGTTCCTTCCTTGGGGGTGGGCTCCCCGCTTTCAGCCCTCCCTGGACACTCATTCATGGGTTCTGGCTGGCTTTTAAACAGTGTCCCATGATGAGTAAGAACTTTCCCTCTAGAGTAGGGGGGCCTGGGCTTGAATTCCAGCATCTGCTTCTCTGTGCCTCCATGTCCTCATTTGCAAAATGGGGATAATCAGGGTACCCCACCCTTTAAGGGGTTGGTGAGGATTAAGAGCTGCAATCTGAGGAGAGTTCGTAGCGTCGTGCCTGCCAGAAGTCATCCCACCCTCACTGCCCCCACCATCCACAACCTCACCACGATCCTCCTCCTCCTCCTCCTCACGATCATCACCATCATCACCTTGCCTGCCTCATCCCCTTCAGGGCCACAATTCGCTGGTGAGGTAGGTATTGTTGCTGGACACCACTGAGTCGCTTCTGATTCAAGAACAACAGAACCGAGACCTGTCTGGTCCTGCCCCATCCTGCCAACGAACCGTTGCTCCATTTGGGGCCATCGTTGCAGCCACTGTGTCAAGCCATCTCCTCGAAAGCCTTCCTCTTTTTCTCTGACCCTCTGCTTTATCACGTGAGATGTCCTCCTCCCGAGACGGCCCCTCTTGATATGTCCAAAGTATGTGAGACCAGGTCTCACCAACCTCGCTTCTAAGAAGCTGGCCTCCTCCCAAGACATATCTGTTCATGCTTCTGACAGTTCATGGCATATTCCATAGTCTCCACTGTAATTCAAATGCAGCAAGGCACTAACGTCCCTGTGTTACAGGTGGTAAAACTGAGGCTCAGAATGGTCAAACGATTTGCCCAGGATCACGCAGCTAGTTAAGGCAGCCAGGAAGCCAGAACTAAAGCCAGGGGGTTCTGATCCCAAACCCGTCTGCTGGGCTATGTAACTTGACAACAGTACATTATTTTTTTTTACTTTTTCACTTTGGACTGAGTGTGTTTAGGTTATTTGATTGGACTGATATCTCCTCCCTTCCCCATCTGTCTGCACCGTCGACCGGATATGTCAGTGTCTCCTGCCCTGAAGACTACGTGAGCCTCCTCTGTGGCCTTCTTGCCGAATCGCATCAGAGAAAATTGTTCTAAGGCCTCCTGTTGCTTTCTGGAGAAAAGCCAGGTGACTGTCTTTGGGGGCTTTCCCCAAAAGATATGCTCGGGGGATTTTTTGGACCCTAATGGTTTATTCATGGAAAGCTAACCCTGTGAACGGTCCTTTTTCTCGGCTGGAGAACCTGCCTGTGGGGCGCACAGTTCAAGGAGTGGGCAGGATTAGGGAGCACGGGCTAGTGCCTCTCTCAAACTAGTTCTAGGACGGGTGACAGCTGGGTTGGCCCTGGCTTCACCCCCTGCATGTTCTCAGTGTGGTGAGCAGCGAGGGGGGTGGAGGTGACCAGCGGCTGACAGAGGCTGTGGAGAAAGCGGGGCTGGCAGGCAGAACCTGCGAGGAGCATTAAAGGGACACCCCAGGGGGCTCACATGGGCATACGGCAGACAGTTTGCTGTGGGCTGCATGACGGGACCCTCTTCTTGGTCTTTCAGTGAGGTAGTCAGCAAAGTCGCCACTTTTAGAGTGGGGGGACACTTAGAGCTGGGCTGTTGATTGCTAAGCATGAGGGCGGTGGACATGGAGCCTTCCCTGTTCTGACCCTTGAGAGACTCCGCCTCACTTACCTGGCTCTGGATGGCCCTTTTCAGCGAAGACTCAATTTTTTTGTGGAAGAGTTGGATCAGCCACCTGGAGATGGACACAGGAGGACACGCGTGAGGTTTCCTGGGTACCCCTGGGTTCATTCAAGGCCATCTCCTCTGCCGTCCTCTCTCCTCCAAATAGAGCTAGGCCCACTCGTCCTGGGGTTCCCACAGTGCACAGCCCACTAGGCATCTGTCTCTCGTGTGAGGTGACCTATTGATGGAATGATCCCCTCAAGAGCTGTAGGACTTCATTCCTTGTCCCTCCTTCTCTGCACTCCAATAACACTAGCCTGCCCCACCCACTTGGGTCTGCATTTCCTCCCACCACAGGGCCTTTGCACATGCTCTTCTTTCTGCTCGAACGTACCTTGTTCCCTACACCCACCCACCCAACTCCTACTTATTCTTTTCTTTTTTTCTCTCATTGTTTTCTTTATTTTTATTTATTTATTTATTTTTTTACATTTTATTAGGGGCTCATACAACTGTTATCCCAATCCATACACACATCAATTGTGTAAAGCACATTTGTACA